TTATTTTTTTTTATCGGTTGATAAATGAAACTCACGAAGAAGTCACATCCTAATCAACAAGAAACGTGTGTAGAACCATAGCTAATCGCTTGGAGGCTAGGATCAGACATATTAGTCGCCCACGAATGAGGACCCTCTAATTCACCTTCGATATTATATGCATAACAAGGCCATCTAACATTTATCCCACACAATCCTTCGACACCCATATCAATCATTTTCTGAGTCCTGTCGAGCACCACAAGGCTCGAAAAGGTCGAAAAGCTATTCCCCACAAACACGTTCGATCTCAAGCAAACTTCATAGTCGATGGCCGATTGAATTAAATACGGATGCTTTTTGTACACATCAAGAAAGCCCATTTTTTTCTTGTCAAGAGGAAAAAATCCTTCTTTCCAGCCAGAAAGTGTCGAGTTATCTTCAAGAAGATCATCCGCAATTGCGAGGTAGATAACTATTGGAGTTTTCAAACCCTTTATATTTCCCACTCTCTGCATAATCTGCTCCTTGCTGCTGCATATTTCATTAACATTTAATCTTTGCTCAAGTTTCTTGCAATGGATCATCCAATCCTTTTCGATTCTCATGTGTACGGCTATATAAGGCGCCATTTGGGGCGACAAATTGCTCTCATTCCAAAAAGAGCCGACTTTACGGCTTTCTTCAAACCCGATTTCTCTAATTTTAGAAACAACCCTATCAGCTTCTCTGGATATACTATCCTCCAAGACTAAGCATCTAAATATCTTTGCATAGTCTTTAACGGGCCAGTGATCGTGCCACAGAAAAGGGTTCTTCCCGGATATCTTGATTATCTCGTATTCATCATAAGGATGCTTGCTAAACCGGATCAACTGATCTAAATCGATCTGTACCGTCCATTTCCTCCCGCTCCCCTTCTGCAGCTCGATCGCATCACTTGTGTTCGAAACCTCAGAATATTGGCCCAATCGGACAAAACCTTCGCATAGGGAATTAAACTTGTCGAATTTGAAAACCTTATCGAACGAAATGGGTTTAAGCAGATCAACCTCTTTGTAAAACAGCGAGGCACTCAAGCTGGGCATCAAAAGTGTCCTATTCAGCATCCTTGCTGTTAGACAAGCTCTAGCAAATGCAATTTTTTGATTATTCAAGCCCCAAACGATTTGTGGGACCTCTAAAAACTTGATCTTTTGTCCATGGGTATGCGAATCTAATGCTATTGGCCGAGTTTTGAAAGCAAATAAGTCGCCACCGCTAACTCCACTGAATACAGAATAACTGCGAAGATAAGCTGCTCTAAAAACCAGAAAAATTGCAGCCAAGATCAAGCATTTGCATGCCAATGGATTCAAATTCATGCCCAGGAATCTCATATGCTTAAAATTGCTTATGCCCATTGGAAAACTTGGGCCCAAATCTAACCTAGAAAATCAGGGCAATTAGTGACCAAATCTAACGCAAGAACAAGGAAGAAAGATCGGCCCTTTACCCCTTTTTAGTGTGTATTGTGTGGTTTTACCTCAATGTAAATGGCAGCTGCAAAAATCTTCATACACGCAGACATGATTTGAAGACTGATTTTGAGATGGTAAGAAAGTGCGAATGAGGAATCTGAATGGAGCCCAGATGCTGTTGATGAGTGGAAATGAATCTGGAAAAGGCAAAATTACTGTAATTGGAAAGCAAATACCAAGAGAACTCGAAGAAGGGTGTTTCTCGATCTGACAAATCACCTGGAAGTAGCATTTTTCATTATTATTATTATTATTATTATATTATTATTATTATTATTATTATTATTTTTAAATACCAGATTGGCATTGGCTAATAAAGATTATTTTAGATTATAACATATTTAAAAAAAAAAAAAAATGAAGTAAATAGTAGAACAAAATGGTAGAAAAGTCTGTATCTTTTTAAAATTGTGAATGGATATATGATGAATCATAAAATACACAAAGATTGGGCAATTTACAATAGTAAAATAATAAATGTAAGGTTTGGTAGTTAATAATATGTAATATAATAATATTTGTTTGTTGATAAGAAAAATAATAGAATTAGATTAGATTAGATTAGTAGTTATTTAATAAAAATGAACTGTCATTGTAGTTTCAATGAAAAAAAAAATTATGTCAAGAGGTAAAATAAAAATATTTTACATCAGTTCGCTCCTAATATTCTTGCAAAACTAATATTGTAGTCAAATAATTAAATTGTTTACCTGTTTTATTTAAAAATGTGATTACACATAAAAAAAAACAGAGTGAAAATTCAACAATAAAAAATGTATCAATCCAACTAAATAGTCTTTTTAAAAATATGTGATTACACATAAAAAAAACAGAGTGAAAATTCAACAATAAAAAATGTATCAATCCAACTAAATAGTCGCTTTATAAGTCATCAAATCGATTTATAATTAAGAGACAAAAAAATAATTTATTAGAAATATTTCCAACAACTTATCTAAAAATGTAAAATATATGATTTACTAGTACATTTTCAATAAATAATTAATATTATTAATTCAAATTAAAATAATATAAATAATAAATTTTAATTACTAATATATTGTTTTTGAATTTCTATACATATTTTATAGTTTTTTCTTTATATATGTATATATAGAGACTTTTTTTAAAAAATGAGGGGGCCTCACGCCCCCGGCCTGGTATGGCTCCGTCATTGGCTGTTAGTGAGTATATTAAAATAATGTTTAAAATAAAATAATTAAAATTTATTTGTGTAAAAGTATGAGAGAAATTATTTGAAGTGATGTTTAGTTAAAATAATGGAGTGGATTAAGAGTGAATTAAGATTGGTATGGTGACAGTGGTGTGTTTAAATGATTGATTGATATTATTTAATCATATTGATGATTTTAATGATAGTGATGTTGATTTAAAGTTGAATTAAAAAAGTAGTTGAGTTAAAATGTTGATTTTTTATTTTTATTTTTTAAATTTTTTTCGTATGCAAACATACCCTTACATTCTTATTTAAAGCTTTGTATACATAGTTGTGTATGTCGCCGTTACTTAGACCATCTTTAGTCCTTATTTCTAATCTAGCGCGGACTTTACTCTAATCTAGTGTAGAGTGAAACATTCGTCTCCAGCCTTTATCTCTATATTTTAATCTACATCAAATATATTATTTTTTAATCATTTTTATTTCAAATAAAATGATTTTAATATTATGTTATTTTTATTTGTGTTTTATGATTTACGTTTAATGTAAATTTTTAGTTTGGATGAAATCTACTTGTTGAATATGTTAAATTTTTATTCATACGTACCACTTTAATATTAAAAAATTACAAAATAAAATTATAATACATCAATAAATAAAAAGCACAAAATTACTTAACATACAAAATACATTGCACAAATTATTTAACATAAAAATACATTTATTAATATACATTATACAAAATATTATCATTAAATCACATTAAAAATACAAAAAAAAAAGAAAGAAAAATATGGCGCATTGCTATAGCGTTGCGCTAGAAGTGGCGCAACACTGTTCATTTATCGGCAATAGCGCAAAAATATAGCGTTGGACTGAAGCGCATATTCTGCGCTATTTGAGAGTAATACGCAACTCCAACGCAGCGTTGGAGTTGCTCTTATGATGCCGCTGCGCGTTTGTTACGAAGGCGACAAAACCTAATTAATGCTTATTGATGGTGGTACAATAACAAATATAATTACTAGAAAAATTAAAGAATGTGTAACTTGAAGTAAAGGCATATATCTATTATCTTTATCATCAGATATACAAAGTGTGGTACAAACCGAAAAAAATCATATTTAAACAAAAATAGTATATATGCATTTTTATTAATATACAATCTCTATATAGTGTTCCAAAACATCAATGTTTATGATCTCACTAACTATAATCTGTGATTGACAGTTGAATCTGACGATTTCATTGTGATAACCGAAACTAGCTCTTTCGCCGTCCATGTCGTTCGCGATAGCTTGCGCAGGCAACCGAGAACCTCCTCCGATTGCAAAAACCAAGAAAAGTAATCTGATACATTCACAAATTAATATACATCAATGCCAATCCAGTTTGCAGAATAAAATCTATCTTTATTGAACCATTTACCTGTACTCTTTGTGAGATTATACACTGCAAATGAAGCTAGAATCTTTTCCTCCATGTTTGTACTTTTATCCCTCAAATAGTCTATCAATTGTACCACCAAAATCGAGCATGCTGCAAGCTGGAGCTCTTTATCTCCGAGCGAATGTATACTGATACTAATCCAGCAAACAGTCACTAGACTCGCTCGTGCTAAACATGGAATGCTGCTCGCTATTGAATCCGAAAGTGCTGTTAAAAGTCTAGTGTTTCCGCTTGAAAGCAGAGCTTTTGCAGTTTTCTGCTGCCATTTTTCCATCATTTTTTCATCTTCATTCTGAGAAGAGAATTAGCATAATTTGATCAACCTCTACAAGTAAAAAAATTCGAGTATCAGATTTAACTCACCAAGCTTAGGCTCTTCACATCCTCTTCTTCATGACCAGCCTTTTTGAGAAGCCATCGCTCGATTTCGGGCTCTCCAGTATAAGAAAACTGTCCTCCCAAAATCAACAAAGCTCTAGCTGATAGCTCTTGAATTTTCTCGTCAAAAATCTGATACTCTAGCGCTTTTACGATTGCGTCTATAGCTTCTTCTCTGTACACACTATATTCTCTAGTCTCCTGGCTTTCGTCCTGTGTCAGCATTATGAATACCGCTAGTGAAGTTATTTTCCAATATCTTCCGAAAAAAGTTACTATGCTTATATATTATAATGAGCTAAAAAATGAGAAAACTGAAAACCATAAGTTGTAGCTGCAGCAATATGACTGCAACAGCAGGTCGATCTTCGGGCAGCGCCCCCTGGAGAAGGAACAGCAAAATTTGCTTGGTGTTTAAGCAATCCCATCCTTTCTTGATCCCGGATAAACATTCGGTTATTTGGTTCCTCCTGTCATTCCAAAAGATAATTTAATCCAGATGGATAGACAAAAAAAGGCCAAACATGACTTTGAAAATTGAAAGTTGAAAGTCTCTCACCTGCTAAGGCATAATAACTCTGTCATCAATCCAAGAGCATGCTCATAATAAGAATTTGTCGAATTTGTGTTCATCCCGATCGCCAGCAGGGATATAATCGTCTCTTTGTTCAAATTTTTCGCCAAGTAATATCGGCAAATTCTATCGGCCTTAACACAACAGTGAAGAACAGCACAAGCTTTACTCTTCTCATTAATGTCCCCTTCATCCATTCTCCTCACCAGTAAACTTAAACCGCCGAGCAAGACAATTTGCTGAGCATTCTCTAGATTTTTGTCCTCATCAAAACCCGTTAGAAGCTCATCTAGAAAGTAATACGCGGCCTCGTGAGTATAGCACTTTACGTCGAACAAAACTTCTAAGTGATCGCCAAATTCAAGCACCCGAAGGACTAGTGGGACCCACTCGATCGACACCATTTGTTTTGCTTTTGGTTTTATGAGGTAAAGCAAAGCTGCGGCTTTTAAGAATAGGCTACTGCTTCTGAATAGTTTTATCGAAATATCGAGATTTGGGTCTGAATTCAGTACCCACTGACGATTGGTCTCGTTTTTGAACACGAGCTCGGCTAAGAGCGACAATGCCAGTTCAAGAATCTCGTCGTCTGTGGAGACATAGAGTACTTCCATTATTCCTTGTATTGCCGAAGCCCGTGATAACGAGATCTCGATTTTTTTTCCATCTCCATGGGAATATGAACTTAGCCAGGCTTCGGTTATCATACGAACTGCTTTTTCACATTCGGGTAGGCTTTCTGAGGAGCAAATAGTGGAAATTGCACTTGTGGTTACGTCGTTAACATACGGACGATGGGAATTTTCGTCAGTCTTGATTTTCTCGTTCATCAACATGTGGTGTGTGTGGACTTTAGAGTCAGTTAAGTTTTCGGCCCGGCAACCCAAGAATCTGAAGTAATTATCTGAACTTTTGCTGTCGAGCCACAAATCGCGCTTATGTGATCTATTACTCTGACTTGATGACCTTCTACTAGAGCTAGTTTTTTTCTGTCAGAATTGAATCAGATTTTGTTCAAAATTGGAGTAAACAACGAAAGAATAAGATTATATGTAAATAGCTACTCACATCAACAAGGCTGAAATGTGTCTCATATTCTTCACCACCGCATGCTACTTCTGAATTACGTACATTTTCCATTGACCGGGACTTTGTAAACGGGCCGAAAACCGTCTGGTACCTATAGGCCCGAACAAAGTAAATTAAAGGGTACAAAAACAATTTACTATCAGACATAAAACAGCATTATCCTTGCAACTAGATTAAGACAGAAAATAATAAAGTTACAATACATAAAAACAATACTTACAAAGATTTGTTGCTAGTGGCATGAAAAGTAGCACCCGAATCCAACGATTTCCTTCTTGATCGCGAAAAACTAGATTTCGAAGGCGAAGGCACCGAAGGAACAACATAAGGGGTCTGATTCGAACCACCAAATTTAAGCCACTCATTGTAATAAACTGCAAACTTCTTCGTCCCAATATCCATAAGATGATCAAACTGTTTATCCAAAGCTTCGACTTTTCTCTTCCTCTCGGCAATATAACCCAAGCCCGTGAGAAAACCGAGCTCGTTTTCACGCCACACTTTTATATGAAGAAGATGAGGCAAGAAAACATGCTCCCACAGCTCGGGAAGCAAGCAGGTCCGCGCTAGATACGGAGAATCGCTAAAAAGCTTCAAAAGGTATCTTGCAGAGACTTTTTCATTGTTGGCAAATTTGTAAGCTATCGACAAGTAGAGATGCGCGCAGGCCGAGAGGTTCGATTTCGAGCCCAAAGAAGCCACAATCTTGAGAAGCTTAATGGCTTTTTGCAAAGACTCTAAAATTATCTCTTTACTGGACTCTTGAAAATGGATCAACCTATCGATTCTCTCAATGCCCATTTCAAGATGAGCCCAAATCTCATCCCCTGAGCTTATGTGATTCCCATGTGCGAGATAAAGATTGCATTTTTCTTTGATATTTCTTCTAAAAACCTCGTCTTTCGAGTACCGGCCAACATAGCCGCACAAAATGGACACGATGGCCTTAATGGCAGCGGAGTCTATGGCGGGTTCTTCTTTTCTTGGAGTATTTCCCGTATCGGACGAAATTACGGATGTGTTCCTCGCCGGAGGTGCCTTTTCCGGCTTGTTGGATGAAGGGGAGCCGAAGCTCCGGCGATCGTGGCAGATGAAGATGGGGAGGCTGACGGAGTCCTGTGGCTGAGGGCCACTTTTGAATTTCACCTTTTTGTTGGGCTTTCTTGATATTTGGCGCTCGAATCCTTGTTCGGACAGCAGTTTGTGAAGAGACGCCATGGAAAATAGGAGTGGGCTAAAAGAGCAATTTTGTGAACTGACATTTTTTTTCTTTAATTTTTGGGTTAAAGATAAATGAAAAACAGAGCAGCTAAAGACAAAGTGGTGCAGATGATTGAGGTTTTCAGAGAAAAAGGACAAACAATTCTCCTCGTTTATTTCCCTTTTATTACTTCATTCTTCTTCTAATTTTCGTTTTAACGGTTTCATATTTTACATATTTGCATGAGAAATGAAGCGAACCGCTCGTGAGTTGGGCTTGGCTCGGTTCAAATCATAGAGCTAGTTTGGTTTGAAAAGCTTGAGAATAAGGACTTAAATAATTTTCTGAATTTTTGCCTCAAATTGACTCGGTGAAACTCAAGTTCGAATCATTAAATTCTCGAGTTATGAGAAGAAGTCAAGCTCGACTGGATAGAAGTTCGAGCCAAGCTCGAATATCAGAAAACCGACCTTCAGTTTACACCTTAGGTATAGTTCAACATAGCGCATTCATCAAGCTCAAATAATTTAAAGAATTTGTATCACATATTTATATAATCTTAAGATTGGAGCCAAAAAAATTATCTTGGTTAAAAATGAGATTGTATCACATAAGTTATGAGCCACTTTTCTATTTATCAAAATTTCTTACACCAAAAAAACCATTTCTTGGTAACATTAAATTGGTTAAAAATGAGATTCCCTTTTTTT